AGCGAGCAAGGACTTTGGAATATTTAGTTTCTGAGTCGCTGTGCCAGCTAGTGTTCTGTCAACACTGCACAAACTACAGTCACTGGAATGCAGGGAGCCTCAAGTGAGAAAATGCTCAGTAAGACCAAGCTGTAGGCAGGCAAGCCGGGAGTGCATTTTCTTAATTAGTGATTGACGGTGGTGGGCCCAGCCCATTGTGGTGGGGCCTCCCAGGCCCTGGTGGTCTGAATCCTATACGAAAGTAGGCTGAGTCCGCCACAAGAAGCATGGCGAACAACACTTCTTCCATAGCCTTTGCGCATCAGCTCCTGCCGCCAGGTTCCTGCCCTGTTTGAAATTCCTGTCCTGACTTCTCTCAGTGATGAACAGGGCTGTGGAAACATGAGTCAAGGAAATGACCCTTTCTTCCCCAAGTTGCATTTGTCACGGTGTTTCACCATAGCAATAATCACCCTGACTCAGCCAGCCGAGAACGTGTCCTTGGCTAGTGCTGTTAGCCAATGCTCAACCAGGGAGCTTGTTGGAATGTAGATTTCCATCCAGAATGTGGTCTGAGGATCTAGAGTTTGGAGCTGCTCCTTAGGAGCTAAGGCTGCCGGTGTAAGACCCTGACTTAACACAGGGGCTCGTGTGTAACCACACGACTCAGCAAGCTACTTGGCACCAATTGACACGGACTGCCACTTTCTCTGATGAGCACAGCTTGTTAGAATGTTTTTTAAAAGTGAAGTTGGCGAGCCAGTTTATTAACCTACTGAGCCAGTCACCTGTGTTGATGGCTTTATCCTGTCTCTGGCTCAAAAGTGGGGCAAGTAATTTGCTTAACAATCTCAGGATGTCTGTGTCAACTGGTGTCTTAGTTCGGGTTCCTGTTGTTAGGGTTTCTGTCTCTCTGATGAAACACCGTGACCAAAAGCAAGTTGGGGAGGAAAGGCTTTATCAGCTTACACTTCCACATTACTGTGCATCACCAAAGGAAGTCAGGACAGGAACTCAAACGAGGCAGGAGCTGATGCAGAGGCCACGGAGGGGTGCTGCTTACTGACTTGCTCCTCCTCATGGCCTGCTCAGCCTGCTTTCCTATAGAAGCCAGGACCAACAGCCCAGGGGTGGCACCACCCACCAAGGGCTGAACCCGCCCCCATTGATCACTAATTGAGAAAATACCTTACAGTTGGATTTCTTGGAGATATTCCCTCAGCTGAGGCTCCTTCCTCTCTGATGACGCTAGCTTGTGTCAAGTTGACACAAAACCAGTCAGCACAGTGGGTAAGTCACTGACTGTTGTTCCCTCCAACCGGAAGCAACACAGAAGCTCAGAGCCTTCACCACAGCGCTTTTTCTCTTTTAAGTTGTCTCCAGGTCTTGGTATGAATGGGAACTCCTCTCATTGCCTGCATATCTGTCCTCCATGCTTCAAAGCCGCTGCTGTAGGGCAGCTTCCTGAACAACTTGTTCCTCGTGGGAGAGAGCAAACAGTAGTGAGTCAGGAGGAGGAGTGGAGGTTAACTCACCTGAACAACACCTGCAAGTCCGGCTGTACGAGAGAGCCTCAGAACATTGCCAAAGCGTCCGTGCCAGGGCCCGGGGTGCTAGCTTACTGGAGAAATTTTAAATTATATAATTTTAAATATATATATATATGTGTGTGTGTGTGTGTGTGTGTGTGTGTATAGTTTTTTGAGACAGGGTTTCTCTGTATAACAGCCCTAGCTGTCCTAGAACTAGCTCTTGTAGACCAGGCTGGCCTCAAACTCACAGATATCCACCTACCTCTGCCTCCCGAGTGCTGGGATTAAAGGTGTGCGCCACCACCGCCCAACCAAAATACACTTAGCTTAGACAGGGACTAGAGTAAACCCATGTAGCATTGGAGACTAGTAGCAGAAACCTGCCCTGCTCCTGGAGCTGCTATGGGCTTGTATCACTGTGTGAGCTCTATTCCGTCACTACATCTATGTATTTTCGTGTATGCAGTACGTTCAGGACAATGTGACCGCCTGACATTGCCCCTGGAACAAGTTAGGTAAATTGCCTTTTCCAGATGTGATCCCTGCACTTAGGGTCATAGAATTCAACCCTTTACAGAGCAAGTGCTTCTGATCTTGCTCCAACCCAGCAGAAGAAGAGCTAACCCTGCTTGCCCTTTCTTAGTCTGACAGAGCAGGGGTGTTGTTTTCTCTCGACACAGAAGGTGCGCCCCAGCTTTCCTAGTTCCTAGTTCCCTCAACACAAGAGCGCCCCAGCTTTCCTAGTTCCCTCAACACAGAAGGTGCACCCTGGCTTTCCTAGTTCCTATTTTCTATTTCTGCTGCTACTCCACAGACTCAACAAACCAGAGCCTGACAAGTGTAGAAGGAATTGAAAATACAGAAGAGGGACCAACAAGATGGTTCAGTGGGCAAAAGTGTTTGCTGTATGAAGTTAAACCCACGAGTTCAATTCCCAGAATCCACGTAAAGGCAGAGAGAGAACTAGTCTGCAAACCCGTCCTCTGACCTCCACACACGCAATGTCCCACGTTATGCACCGGCTCGGTGGAAAGCACATTCCCATATATACCAAATAAACAAGATAAGCAACCAAAAGAACGAAGGCCGAGGGTCAACAGAATGGTTCAGTTGGTCAAGGCACTTGTTGCATGCACCTGACGACCTGAGCGAAATCGCTGGGACCCATTTAAAGGGGGGACCTGACTCTATAAAGTTGTCCTCTGACTGCCACACCAAAGTTCACCTCTTGGTCAAGTGTTGAGTTTGAGGCCAGGATGGGATACATGAGACTCTGTCTCAGAAGAAAAAAAAAGTTGAGATCTACAGTTGTGTTTATATGAATGCCATTTCCTTAAGTGCATTTTGTTTTGGCATGCTGGAGACTGAACTGGGGCCTTGTGCATGCATGTACGTTATCACTGAGCAGTGTCTCCAGCACTCTTACTTAGAGATGGTTTTACTAACTTGCCTAGAACTCAGTCTGTGGCCAAGGCAGGCAGTGAACGTATGACCGATCCTCTTTTCGTCAGCCTCCTGAGGTGCTGGGATCACACACCTGTGTTACAGGCCTGGCTTGAAGCTCATCCTTGATCTATGTTTCCTTTCTAATGTAATTTATGCTTTTAGCTCTGACATCCACCCCTTCGGTTTTGTGTCCTTTACTTTCCTCTCATTTTGCTCTGAGATGATGCACTTTGAAATGAGATGATCATCTAGGATAGACCCTGCGGGAGTGACTTCAGAAATTAACCAGGGGGAACTATCATAGCGTAGGGTTTGCTTCGATATTGGGGATGGAAACCAGAAACCAAACTCTAAACACTAAGCCTGGGCTCTTCACCTGCCTGTTTTGGGATTTTGAGTCAAGATCTTGCAGTGTATTCCAGGCTGGTTTCAAACTCATGCCCTAATCCCAGAAGGCTAATTCAGGATTGCTGTTGAGTCCAAGGTTAACCTGGGCTACCTAGTGCACTTCAAGGTAATGTGGCCTCAGAGTTAGACCCTCAAAATAAACAAAATGAAACAAAAACTACACTGAGATTCTATCTCACTCATCAGATTGGCATCAAGAAAGAGAAAATAACAAATGTTGGCAAGAATGTGAGGGGAAAGGAGCTCTTCCACACTGTTGGTAGCTTCTGTGGAAAGGAGTGGGGAGGGCCTAGAGAGATGGCTTAGTGTTTAAGAGCACTGACTGCTCTGGATTCTCAGCCCTCATATGGAGATCAATTTTGTAACTCATTTCAGAGGAACTGATGCCCTCTTCTGGTCTCCATGGGTACTGCATGGAGCACAGACATGCAGGTGAAATACCCATACACAGAAATAAAAACAAATCTCAAATTAACAACAACAACAAAAAAACCAAAAACCGAAAATAGGACTACCATACAATCTATCCATACCACTCTTAGGCACATACCTGAGTCGGGTCACTACAGAGACACCCACATTTATCTTACTTCACAACAGCTAATGAAAGGGAGAAACCTGGTATCCATCAGTGGATGAATACAGCAAATGTACATATGCACCAAGGACCTTTACTCAACAGTGAAGGATGCAGTTGTGTTCTCTGCAGAGCTGGAGATCATGTTAAGTGAAATAGGCCAACCTCGCACCCATGATTTCTGTGCGGAGTCCAGGAAAGCAAAGGACAGGAAAATTAAAAGGGGGGTGCTAAGTGGAAGGAAGTGGTGAAGGTCAAGGAGGGTATGATTAACATAGGGCTGAATACATCAATGTGTACTGTATGCATGGAAAAATAAATATGACACCTCTGTATAGTTTATACTAACCCCAAATGATCTGTATGAGTCCAGCTCAACAAAAATTCTTGTGTTGGGAGCAGGAAGAATTTTGAAAAAAAGTGCTGTTGTTCCTCCTTGGCAGGGCTTAAGAACTTACGGGCCCTGCTAATAGACTAGCAACGTATACCACAACAACCAGAGCTTTTGGTGGCCTTGGACTGAGAAGTCAGCAAGTCTTTTACTTGTACACCTTGGGGAAACTACTGTCAGACCACTCCATGACAATGCCTCCAAGCCTAGTCCTTTTCCCAGCACTGGGGATTGAACCCAGCACCTTGCAGATATATACTAATAGACAAGTGTTCTACTGTCCTTTATCCCCAGAGCTCCTGGCCCTTTCTCTGTTAATTCTACCACCAGTGGCTTTGCACCACTTGCTTTGATTGAGAGGGTATCTGGAACGACCATCCACATGGCATCTCACTGCTCCCGCACTTTTTAGAATGGTGTGTGGCACAGCAGGGAGCCAAGCTTCAGGCAGGTGATAACCCCCCCCCCCTGGAATTCTCATCCTTGTCTCAATGCTGTGGACATGGTGCTCACAGGGGTCAACCACCCCATTGGTTCAACCACTCAGAGTCAAACCTGCTCCGAGCGATGTGTGAACACAGGGCAGTGGCTCAGGACAGTAGCTACTGAGATACTATCTGTCTCTGGTTGTTCCAAACTCTGGTCGTGAAATAAAGAAACAAGTAGACCTGGTGACAACACATTTATTTCTGTGCCCTGCTGTGTGACTGGGAGGGGCTTTTTTTCACCTTCCCATAATTGATTAGGTCACAACAATGAAAATTCCAGAAGGTAAACTAGTGGTTTATTGTCGCTCATGAGCATAAGTAAACAGACATATGGTACCACATAAAGGAATCTTCAACACGTTAAACCTTTTGGCAGTATGAACCACTAGACTTTGGCAATAATAGCCTGGTTGGATTCCTACGCTAAAGCATGTGGCTATCTTCAGACACAGCGGTAAAAGGTGGATTTAGTGCTTGAGCTTCAGAAATATAACTAGGATTCTTAGGAAATTGGGAAAAGCCAACATCACTCAAGCTTGCCTTAGTTCTTGGCTGTGTGATGCGCAGCCGGCGGCCACACTCCACCAGCAGTGGTCACTGTTGCTTTATAGTGCTTGTTGAAAACAACTTCCTGCAGATGGTAGGCTCTATGTTTTAAGTAGTTTTAACTGAACGTCTTGTGTCCAAAAGAAACTCATGCAGGTCTCAAGCCAAAGCATAGAACAGTGAATTTCCTGTTAGAACCAGTCACTTCCAGGCAGCCGTGTCACTTTCTGTGTCCCTTTCAGGTCTTCTCTTCCTGCTTTCAAATCTCACAGTGTCTACTTTCTGAGGGTTCGGTTTAAGAAAAAAACAGGTAGTCACCGCTAGAAGAGGATCTAGGACTGGGCTGACCACCAAGGATGAGGTTTACACTAAATTAAAATGTTACGCTGTTGGAAACTGAGGGGACACGAGTTCTCAGCTCCTACAAAGTATTATGGCTAAAGAAGCAGAGAACTCAATGAGGAAGGCAGCTAAGGAAACTAACTCAGCACAGAGAAATGATAGGATTAGTGCCGTTTTAGGAATGAGCTCACCAACTAGGAACGGGCAGCACACAGCATTTCTTTGGAGGTTAAAGTGCAGGCTATGAAATGGCATAGAAAACAGTGCATGAAACAGTGCAACCCCACGGTGCCATCGTTTCCGTTCATGGCGCATAGCCTATTTCTTGTACGTCCACTTTCTCTAAAAACCCAGCTGCAGTGACACCTTTTAGGCATTAAACTGTTTTACCCATTCTTGGGCTACATAGAATATTTTAACATTTCAACACATAGACTAGTAGCACATACCTCTTGAAACTACTAAATTAAGGCAAGCCCCTGTGAAGTTCAGTACTCCAAAAACATGTTTTACAAAAAAAAAAAAAAAAAAGTTGATTCTAAATCATTGGCTTTTGACTTGGGGTACCCCAATAGTCTACAACAGTAAGGTTACTGTTAATTGCCCCCATTACTGCCAGGCTCTCTACATCAGAAGGGAAGTCTGAAGAGCGTCATGACCACGCTGGAAACAGTTGAGCAGTCAGTGTGGGAGGTGAGCAGGGCTCTGCGGGCCAGGGGCCAGTCCTCTTCACCTCCCATCCATGTCTTGTCATGTTTGTATGCCTGTGTGTAGTGTGCACCATGGGTGAACTTATACATGGGAATGAGTCATTCACACAGAGGAACCACTTCTCGGTGGGGATACTTTCTGAAATGTGCTGTCAACTACCCACAGCAGGTAAGTTTCTGCCAGGAAATGCAAGATGTCTCTCTCAGGAGGCGGGCAAGTTTTCCCATGGCAAGTCAGTTTTAGCTATTAATAATGTGTGCTTTGGAAAACTCTAAATGCTACTATGCTATTCCAAAGCACTGTATTAAGTGGAGAAGACAACTGCCTGACCTGTGTTAGCTACTCCAAGGAAAGCTCAAGACAAGCGGGCTGTAGTACTTTATTCTCATAGTTACGGATACTCATGATGCAAGTGCAAATCTGATGGGCAGACCACAGGCGTGCGGCAGACATGTCCCCGTACCTTCTTACTGTGGATGCTCACTGTGAAAGCCAGGCATTCACATCAACTAATGGAAGACTGGTGATTACATTTAGGCTAGTTAGATGTAGTTTGAAAGAAACTTTTAATAATTATTGGAGAACTAATTTGAGGCTTATTTCTTTGATGCATAAGGATTATACTCTGAAAACCTGTACTTTGATGCTTACCAAGTCTTCTTCTACCACAACGGTAGACTAAGAAAGTCAAGCTCTGAGTGCCCAATAGGCCTCCTCCAAGGCTACGGTGATATGGCTACTTCCTAGAACTGCAAAAGTGAGACCTGCTGAGAAAACAAGTTCTAGACAAGGACCGTTATGGATGACCTGGGCTGACAAATCTTTTTAGGAAACTGTTTATTTTAAAATTACCTTACCAACAAACCATGAGACACTTGGATGCCATGTTATGTATTCTCACTGAAACACACTACATCGTAAACGGACCTTCAAAGCCAGACTTGAACGAAACCCAAGGGCACGATCATGAGGGGACAATATTAAGAATGGGTAGGAAGTGTCACTTGGTGAAAGTGTCCTAAAGGATGCAGGAGCAGGACACATCGTGTTGGACGGATGACACCCTTGTGCTTCCCTCCCACTGCGGGATTACCAAACCTTAGTTTTCCACAGGTGTCAACTTTCACCTGGAAAGGGATAGTTTTAACTATCTCACAGCTAAATTACTATAAATAACTGAAGCCCAAAGCAACAGATGGTTAAAAGAACAAAACTACATAATTTAGTACATTAAAATAAAAATAGGACAGTGATTGTTGGATGTTTCAAAAATATACAACAGGGAAAAGAACCATTTTACACAATTTGGAGAGTGTGAACCACTCAGAAGGTTGGACAGTGCAAGACACACTTTTCCAGTTACGAGCTCAAAACAGAGTGCAAACAAATCTAAATCTTTAGATCGCAGGAGCTCGGAAAACTAACGGTTCTGTCAGAGTTATCACAGGAGCTCGAAAGTGGTATTCAAAGGCTTCGGCAAAGCCCTTAGATATGAAATAATCAAACTAATTTCACGGCACATTTTCTTCAATGAACTTTCCTTCAGTTGGGTCCCTATTCGTCATGGTTGACCCATGAGCACAGTGACAAGTCAGCCTCATGACTGCTTCCCAGAGGTCTGATGTCTACAGAAAGAGGCTTGGATTTGGGGTTCTGTCTTGGCCAGTGTACCTGAACCCTACAGAGAAGAGACACATCAATGGGCTCTACAGTCTCTTGTGCCTGCGAAACCGGAGGACAAATGGACTGGCAATTCTCCCCTTCCAGGCAAGCCGCTGCAGAGGAAGACAGTAAGCGAAGGCGCAGATCTACAAGTGGTGCAGAGGTCAAGATGGACACCAGTGCAAGAGCTGACTAGGCAATGCATGCACCCATCCATGCAGATGTAGGCCATGGCCCCAAGGAAAACTGAAAGCATGTATCTAAAAACTGGAAACATCCCTTGCCAGTAGCTTATAAAAATATAGTCAGTACTGTAGAGCCCTTCTACAGTAACACTCTGTGGGCCTTCCCTTACCCACCGCTGCAACAGCACAGTATTAACTACTTCTCAGACATTCCAGACAAAGGTCACTTATAACAAACAAAAAGTCAACCTTTTTTTTTAAAAAAAAAAAAAAACAAGATAGTGTCCATTTAAAAAGTAGATTTTTTTTTCTTTCAAGTGAACAGGACATCTTATGTATTAAACTTAACTTTGAGTCTGTCAAGAATGGTTTGTTAAAATCCGTATGTAATGTGCATATATGCTGAAACAGACAAACTTAACACATCACCTGCACAGGAAAAACGTTAGCTCCCAAAGATGATAGCATGGGTCTGGTTAGTACAGATCTATTGCAGAGTAAGAGGTTCTCTGCATCAGCTCCACCAGAGAAGCGCGAGAAGGGACGCCAACCACAAGAGCCAAGTGTAAGTTGTGTTTTGATCGCCTGGAAGCCTAAGGGACACCACGTTGCTCCAGTATCCTGACAGGAAGAGCTGCTTAAACTCCCGGCCACAGACATCTTCCCCAGAGCTACAGCCACATTCCAATTTACTTCCTGTTCCGAAGTCGTTTGGATTTCCTAAGAGAGTCTATGGCTTCTGTCGCCTTCCTTCGTTTCCGAGGAGAGTCCTCACCCTGCCCAGAACCTGAGGATGTTCCTACTGCACTTTCCATGACTTCTCGAAGCTTCCGTTCCAGCTCTGCCAACCGTGCATTCTGTTCACCTATGATCTGGGTCTGCTCTAGCAGTTTCTGGTCTTGGTCTTGAAGCTGTTTCTGCTGCTCTTGCACTTTGGTGCGGAGCTCAGAAATGTCACGCCTGAGGACAGTCACGCCAGCACCATTGGTTTTAACCTGCTGCTGAAGCTTGGTGACCTCCTGCCTCGAAGGGTTCTGCTTGGAGAAGAGCTGCATTGTTGTCAGTGCTGCAGATGGTCCGGGAACTGTGGAGAAAGCATCTGAATGGTTAATCATTTATGTTCCCTACTGGGAACACTTCAGCTTACTTTAGGTTTTTGGGTTTATTATAATAAAAATTCACTTTAAGTCAGTAGTTGTGGTCTCATGCAAAGAATTAGCCATGAAATGGATCTAGAGAGCATAATTTAAGCAAAACAAACAGAAACAAACAAAAAACTGAGACACATGCCAAGGGGAGCTGCTGTGCTGTGGTGTACAGCCATGTTTCCAGCACTCGAGAGGCCAACATAGGCTATACAGAGTTGGTTGCCAGCTTGGGGTACAGATACATAGTGAGACCCTGTCTGCAAAAGAAAAAAACCAAAAAGATACCTGGAGGGGAGCCCATGAGTCTTCCAGACACATCTGATCCTGGTAATTTCCTCTTCAGAATTGGAACAATCTTCTCATCAAAGTACTCCATGGCCATGGAGGAGATATCCCGTAACTCCTGTAGCACTTCATGGGCTCGCTGAGGGGCTCTGGTAGAATTGACGTATCTCAGTACACGGTAAATCTCATCAATCACCTACAGAATGAATCTTGTTAGCACTTTATAAAGTTGTAAAAAAGAGATCAGCTAAATAGTAGAGAGGGGGTGACAGCTGCTGTGAAGACTCAGAGCATTTAACTCAGGAGCTCAGCACGAGCATTCACAGCACAGGCTCTGCACCTACACAGCACTTTATGCCTAGACTTAGCAAGCATCCTTACTGCATCAGGGCATTGTGTTAAAGCTAGAGTCAGAACAGACTACACCCCCGTCCTAAGGGAAATCGGAACAACCAGGGAGACACATGAGTATACACAATACAACAAGAGCCACATGCACTGCTAAAGAAATTAGGATTGAATGCAGACATTACATTCTGCATGGAGTAGTGGCAGGGAACGGTGACCCAAGTCTATACTCAAACCTGATTCTGTTCCCAAGCCCCAAGAACTCAGTCTGACTCCTCTTTCTCTTGTGCACTGCCACCATATGCTCTACCCCTTAAAACTTTGTTTTTCTAAGAGTTGACACAGTGTGGCCACACTTTCTCATCATTACCAAAGGGCAGCAGAATGTCCTTTTCTATTTTAATTGCAATGGGGAAACTGAAGGCATAACGTCAATGAAAAAGAAACAAGTGCTTACCACACTGGTTTCTAACCCTCTCCTCTCCTACTTAAATAGTAACTGAACATCCTTAGTCAAGCATGCTCTGAGCTTTACGCCCTGCCAGGGTATTGTTCACACACTGTAGCTTCAACACAGACCTGAAAACAGCGATTCACATCTTTGAAGACCACAGTTCAAATAATGTCTGTTGCAATGGACTCTATCTCACAAGAACTGGGGGCTATTAGCCAAACCATTATGCCATCATAGTCTCAAACCTCCCTGAATATCATTTTCCTCTCGCTGCATTCATTCCAACTCTAGGTCAGTCTTGTAATCTGCCTTGTCTTTTTGAATCAGAATAAACACACACAGAATCTAGCCTAGTAGTACCTGGACAAAGCCTAGCCCTTAATGTTTTCTTGATTCAAGATCAAGGTGCTGATTCCTGATCAGTCTAGAATGACTTGTACAGTAAGTATCGGCAAAATTAAACTGTTAGGAGGAATGGTCCTTTGTATAAACATAAGATGACTTCACTGAAGTAGTGGCCAGTTCTGTGGGCAAGGACTGACTACGAATGAATCAAGTAGTCAAAGGCACAACCAAAGAACCAATGGCTAGTGCTATATTTTTCTGCCATTACTATTCCACACAGAACTCATGGTAGAAGAAAATTAACTTTTTAGCAGGGTGGTGGTGGTGCATGCCTTTAATTCCAGCACTCGGGAGGCTGAGGCAGGTGGATCTCTGTGAGTTCGAGGCCAGCCTTGTCTACAAGAGCTAGTTCCAGGACAGGCACCAAAAACTACAGAGAAACCCTGTCTCAAAAATCCAAAAAAAAGAGAGAAAATTAACTTTTTTCAATAACTTATTCAACTACCATGCTAGAAATTCAGTATATAGTAAAATGAAATAGCAAGCCTACAGACAGACTACAGTGAGTTCCATGTACAAATTAAGCACTAAGTGAGACACAGATGGCAAGGAGGTGAGACTCAGAGAACTGGGCAGTCGAATGAGGCTTTGGAAATAGCAACAGGTAAACTTTCAGCAAATATGGGAAGGCAGATGATGGAGGAGGGTTATCTGTCTATTGTGTTATTTTCATTGGTCAATAAAGAGACTGCCTTGGCCCCTTGATAGGACAGAAAATTAGGTAGGCGGAGTAAACAGAACAGAATGCTGGGAAGAGGGCGATGAGGCAGAAGCCATGGAGTCAGCCACCAGGTCAGACATCCTGAATCTTTTCCAGTAAGCCACCACTTCGTGGTGCTACCCAGATTATTAGAAATGGGTTAATATCAAGATATGAGAGTTAGTCAGTAACTAACTCTCTAGAGATAATGGGCCAGGCAGTGCTTAAATGAATACAATTTGTGTGTTGTTATTTCTGGGACTAAGCTAGCCGTGCGGGAGCTGGGCAGGGTGAAAAGCAGGCCTGCCCGCAACTCCTTACTATAAATGGCGCCCAACGTGGGTAACTGAATCCACAGAAAGCTTGAGAAAGCTTGGGAAAGAATAGAGTAAAGCATGTTTTCTTGGTATGGTAGCAGCAATTTCTCAGGTCTACTCTGCTTGCTAGAGGCAAGCAAGCGCTCTCGTCTAAGAGAGGCTTCCTGACTCAGCTTTAGCGGCAAAACCCTGCAACTCATTAAGAGGTCCTGTCACAAAACACTTACTGTGTTGATCAAAAGCTGAACGCATGCTTTTCGGTTTTCAGCCATAGCAGGAAAAAAGCTGTGCTGTTTTAAAATGTTGGCTTTCTGGGCTGTCCTGCCAGGGCAATCTCTGACTCTTTCAGGCAGGCAGTCTGACTGAGTGTGGTCTGTGAGCAGAATGCTCCAGCTTGCTTGCTGGCACGGACCTTGAAATACCATAGAGTTGTGGCAGTAAAAGGCTCCAGTGGTACCTCTACCATGAGTCTGGAAAGCTAAGGAATGGACTGGATCTAGCCATCAAAGCCACGGTTTTAGACTCATGTGGTCAGAAAAAGAGAGATATACAGTAAAAAGAGATTCAAAGAGGAAGAAAACCTCTAAATGGTTTACTATGAGTTAAAAATATATGCAGGTTAAAAGGTTAAAGTCATTAAAAACAAAAAAGAAAGGGAGATATAGGGTGTGGTGGTACACACCTTTAATCCCAATGCCTGGGAAGCAGAGGCATATTGACCTCTGTGACTTCAAGAGACAGAGGTAGAGATTGACCTCTGTGACCTCAATGTGTGGTAGTACACGCCTTTAATCCGAATGCCTGGGAGGCAGAGACAGATCTCTGTGAGTTCATGGTGTGGTAGCACACACCTTTAATCCCAGTGCTGGGGAGGCTGAGACAGTGGGATCTCTGAGTTCAAGGACAGCCTGGTCTACAGAGTTATTCCAGGACAAAGATATACAGAGAACCTGTCTCAAAAAGTAAAAGTAAAAATAAAAGAAATAGAGGTTAAAATAAAGCCGCACAAAGATGGAAAATACACAAGAATCTTGTTACTGTATGCTATTATGCTCTCTTTGAATTGTCTGAATGCTGAGGAAGGAGCAACAGCTGCTAGAAGATATTTGTTTATAAATGCTGCTGAACTAATCTAAGATAGATATTTTGAAAATACCTTGACTTCAAAATTTGGATGTAAGGATAAGATACTTTGGAAAAGAGATTCTTCTTTTGTTTTCACAGAGGATGAGACCCTGTGGATTGCTTCTATCCCAGTATGGTATGATAGACCACGTCCTCCTGAAAGGTTGCTGTGAACACCCTCAAAAATTTATTTCATTCATCTGCCAACTGAGATGAACCTAGCACGCAAGTTTTACCGTGAAAGACCTGATTAACAGCGCCCCCATACAGCAGGAAGCAGTTTGGAGAGAAAAAACTGCGTCCATGTTCCCAAATATTGTTTATAAGTGTTCTTTTACATTTAAAGGGGGATATGATATAGATATGAATAATTTCATTGGTATGGATTTTAAGGTCAATTTTGTTATATGTATATATATTTCTGATCTTGATTGAGGTATTGTGATTGTGTAGTTCATTTAAAAATGTAATGTATAATTAAAAATATAGGTTGTTAATGGATAATCATTGATAATAGTCAAGCTTGTAGTAATGTTAGTTTGATTTTCTAGATGTGCATAGATATATTTCAGATATGCATTCTTCATATCTTTCAAAGACTACAGAACATGGCATTTAATGTTTTAATAACTTAGGACTTTTCATGACAATGAGACACGTCTGCTCCTGGCAGCACCAATCTACTTCAAGAGGAAGATGGGCATCGAAGAGGCTCCTTATGGAGTTCGATAGCCATTTTGGGCAAGAAACTGCTCTTGCCTGGACTGTTGTATAAACTGGACACAGAACCCGCAGAGAGAGGACTGCTGAACTTGCCTAAAGGTGAGATGATCTTTCGGGGTTCCTGATTCATGAAAGAGTCTGCGAGACATTCTGCAGGACACAGCAGATAGTGACTGAACTGCCTTTGAAATTTCCTGCTTCATGGAAATGTCTCTGGATATTATGGGTCTGAAGGCCGAAGATGGGTGCCCCAATGATACAGAGGAACTTTGGGTGACTGTCCAGGCAGCGAGATGTCTCTGTCATTTCTAGAGTTTTGGAAGTTGCTTACTTCTTGTTTACTTAGGTAATATTATATCATTCTGGAGTCTTTGATGGAGTTGAAGAATGGATAGTCATAGTTATAGTTTTCCATTATTATGATAAAGGTATAGTTATAAATATTGTGACTGTAATTCTTGCTTGTTAACTGTTTTGTTATATGTAATTTTACTATGTTAAAATGAAAGCCTTTCTTTTTTGTTTAAACAGAAAAAGGGGAAATGATGGAGGAGGGTTATCTGTCTATTGTGTTATTTTCATTGGTCAATAAAGAGACTGCCTTGGCCCCTTGATAGGACAGAAAATTAGGTAGGTGGAGTAAACAGAACAGAATGCTGGGAAGAGGGCGATGAGGCAGAAGTCATGGAGCCAGCCACCAGGTCAGACATCCTGAATCTTTTCCGGTAAGCCACCACTTCGTGGTGCTACCCAGATTATTAGAAATGGGTTAATATCAAGATATGAGAGTTAGTCAGTAACTAACTCTCTAGAGATAATGGGCCAGGCAGTGCTTAAATGAATACAATTTGTGTGTTGTTACTTCTGGGACTAAGCTAGCCGTGCGGGAGCCGGGTGAGGCAAAAAGCAGGCCTGCCCGCAGCCCCTCACTACAGGCAGAGAAGACAGAAGGTTGAATAAAAACAACAGTCAGGAGTGGTGGCCAAGTCTGCAACCCCAGTGCTCAGGAGGCTAAGGCAAGAAGACCACAAGTTCAGGGCCAGCCTAGGTTACCTAGTAAGATCCTATTTCAAAAGAACATATGAATGAATGAGTACAACAAAACAAGGAAAAATAAAGGAACG